AAACATCAAATGTCTGCTATCAAAATATTCTTATTCTTATTCAACCAATTGGACAAGTGGCCGCAAGAGTAGTGGCGCCACCGGATTAGCAGCAGGAGCGAGGGGAAATAAATGAAGGAGACTCGCAAGTTTCAATGTTCTTAACGCCCATAGTCGCATCTGTATTCAAATTTCAGGGTAAATAGTTTTCAGATATAGGCAGAGTGGATCAATTTGATGAGCAACACTCTCCAATTCTACTGGTTATCTCATGAAAATTCGAACACACATATCTCCAGATTTCTCATAAATTGTCGGAACTTCATGCTCCACGGGTTAACGAAGATGCTATTAAGTTGCGATTATTTTCATATACACTGAGTGATACTGCATTGGAGTGGTTAGACGCCGAACCCCATGGAAGCATTACTACATGGGAAGAACTGATCAGAAATTTCTGCAACAAATTTTTCCCGTCGGCAAAAGTAGCTAAAATCAGATTGAAAATTCAAACTTTGCAACAGAAAGATAGAGAGAACTATCATGAGGCATGGAACAGATTCAAAGAACTGATGCGAAAGTATCCAAATAATGGAATCACAATAGGTAATCAAGTACAGTACTTCTACACCGGACTCTCACCACTGTTAAAATTTCAAGTGGATTCCTCTACTGGTAGATCGATCATATGAAAATCAGTACAACAAACCATGGATTTATTTGAGTTAATTGCCACAACACATTCAATGTTTTCATCAGAAAGAGTGGTACCACTGAGAGCATATGGGATGTATGAATTAGATAGCACAACATCTACGAACACGAGATAGTAGCTTTGACAAAGCATGTAGTGCTATTGCTGAAATCACAAATAAGTGGAGCACATGCAGTGATAGGTGGTCATCATGCGCAAACTTTGGAGCTAAGCATTTGACAGAAAACTATATGTCTATAGGCTTTCCCGAAGAACAAGTCAACTTATTCAGAATGGCTCCTGCAATTTCAACCCATATTCACAAACATATAACTCAGGATGGAGACAGTACCCGAACTTTAGATGGTCAGATAATCAGTAAGGGAATGGTTCAAATAATGCTCGCAGGAGAACAAACCAAGTTTGGGGAGATATTTCATCAATATGTGCAGAAAACGGACAAAGTATTCCAACAGATTGATGCTAATTTTCTAAATCAGCAAGCATCTATCAAGAAGTTGGAGACACAGATTGGTCAGATAGCTCAACAACTTGCAGAACGTCTGCAGGGATCATTGCCAAGCAATACAATGACAAATGCTAAAGAGCAAGTGATGACAATAAGAGTAGTGGAAAACGATCCACCGAGGGCTCCTGTAAAAGTTAAA